CTAAGAGAGTAGGATTATCTGCTGTTTTCTCTTGAAAATTTGAGTGTGGATTTACATAGTGTTAAGTATTCCTTTTAACTTTACTTTGGTCTCTAAAAACAGTTCCTTAACTTAGGAAGATTTTTTTTTTCTACTTTGTCAAATATGTCATTAAAATTACCTACTTAGCTGTTATATAAATTTTTATTTTTATTAGTCTATAGGTAATAATCAACCATGTGTAAACATGAATAATAGAGGGGTGGGCAAAAGTAAGTTTACAGTCATTCATATGAAAAAAGACATGCAGGTTATGATTATTATAATAGCTTTATTAACTCAAAAGAATGTTACAACTGTAACTTACCCTGTATATTTCTTCCTCTACATCATACATATTTAGCTCCTTTAATAAACACCTTTGTAAAAACATGTTTTATTTATTTCTTAATTTAGACTTGTTCATGTTAGAAAAGATCACGAACCCTGACTTTTGCATTTTAGTTGCAACTAAAGTTCCCAAGTTAGTAATTATGAGATGACTATGTCCCAGATATAGAACTTTATATACCACAGAATATTAAAAAAACAATATTGAAATAGCTGCTGGTTCTTTGTAAAAAGTATGGCCATTTAAATTACAAAATTAAAATATGATATTTTTATACCTGGTAATTAGATAAAATATTGGACATTAACTCAGCTTTCTGCAGGCTGGGAGATGCCTGTATTTTTGCTTCCTCTTTGTATTGATTTTCCATAATGGAATTTCTCTTAGCTTTTGGACTTTTCTAGATATATAACCAAAGCTTTTAGTATTGGGTTTATATTAAGGGAATTATAAAGCAAGTTGTTGTTTTTTCAATAATTAAAAGTCTTTGTAAAACATATATATGATTTAGAAATGTATTCAAAAGGGTCATATATACTAACTTTTGCAGAAGGTGAAGATCACTCAGAAGTTAAAAAGCCGTGCCAAAATAAAAATAAAAAACATTTTATTTCTTTTTAACTACCTTTCATTAAAATAGTTATTTAGTAGATATGATTATGTAACTGTAAAGTTAGTCCTTATTTTTTACATATCAGTTCACAAATACATGCTTTTTTCCCAGCAAAATATATATCATCCTATATAATAAAAGAGAAACATGGTAATTAACCATAACTTTGCTACCCTTCCCATTGGCTAATCAGCAGGATATGCAAATTAACTGCCAACCAAGATGGCGGCCGGCAGCCAGGCAGCTGAAGCGAACAGGAGGCTTTCTTGCTCCAGTGATGGAGGAATCCAACGTTCCCCACCTGCCACTGCTGGCCTCTGAGCTTGCACTCTAAGAAACAATGTTGCAATTATAGAAGCTAAACAATCCCCAGAAACCTGCTTTCAGCCAGCCGGCCTTGGAGCAGGACCTGAAACAGTGTTTCAATTATAGAATCCAAACAAGCCCAGATCAGCAGCCGAGGTCTGAGAGCTGGAGTCGAGCCTTAGAGCTAAAGCCGGCCCTCAGTTCCAGTGACAGCCATAGAAGGTAAATAAATCCCAGAATAAAAAAAAGAAAAAAAGGAGAGGATGGGAGCTTCAGTCGCCCACCAGCCTGAAAACAGCCCTCAGCCCCTCACCCAGACTGGCCAGGCACCCCAATGGGGACCCCCACCCTGAAGGGGGTGTGGCCAGCTGCAAACAGCCATCATCCCCTCATCCAGGCTGGCCAGGCACCCCAGTGGGGACCCCCACCCTGATCCAGGACACCCTTCAGGGCAAACCAGCCGGCCCCCTCCCATGCACCAGGCCTCTATCCTATATAGTAAAAGGGTAATATGCCTCCCAGCACCGGGATCAGCTGAGCAGCGAGGCCTCACTGCCCCGGTGTCAAGCGGAGCCGCAAGGCCTTCCAGCACTGGGATCAGCGGAGCTGCGAGGCCTTCTGGCCCCTGGAGCAGCGTGACAGGGGGCAGCGCCCAAACCCCCTGATCACCCTGTGGCTCTGTGTGTGACAGAGGGCGGGACCACACCCCCCCATCTGCCCTGCTCTGTTCGTGACAGGGGAAGGCACCCTAACCCCCTGATCGGCCCTGCTCTGTGCCTGATAAGGGGGAGCTCCCCAACCCCCTGATCAGCCTGCTCTGTGTGTGACAGGGTGCGGGCCCCAACCCCCCATGGGCCCTGCTCTGTTTGTGACGGGGTAGAGCCGCAATCTCCCCATCGGCCCTGCCCTGAGTGTGACAGGGGGGAGTGCCCCAAACCCTGATCCGCCCTGCTCTGTGTGTGACAGGGGGCAGTGCCCCAACTCCCCTATCGGCCCTACTATGTGCGTGACAGGGGGGAGCTCCTCAACCCCCCCTGATGGGCCCTGCTCTGTGCGTGACAAGGGGCAGTGCCCCAACACCCTCATCGGCCCTGCTCTGTGCGTGACAGGGATGTAGCGCTGCAACCTCCACATCGACCTGCCTTGAGTGTGACAGAGGGCGGTGCCCCAACCCCCCAATCGGCCCTACCCTGAGCATGACTGGGGGTGGCATCGCAACCTCCCGATCTGCCCTGCGCTGTGCATGACAGGGGGTGGCGCCCCAACTCCCCAATCGGCCCTGCTCTGAGCCCGGCCAGGGGCTGCACCTAGGGATTGGGCCTGCCCTCTGCCACCCAGGAGCGGGCCTAAGTCAGCAGGTCATTATCTCCTGAGGGGTTCCAGACTGTGAGAGGGCACAAGTGGGGCTGAGGGACACCCCCACCCCCCCCGCCAGTGCACACATTTTTGTGCACCGGGTCTCTAGTATATATATATATATATATATATATATATATATCTCCTAGCTAATAAAAGAAAAACATGCAAATTGACCATACCCCCGAACGCTTCCCATTGGCTAATCATCAGGATATGCAAATTAACTGCCAACCAAGATTGTGGCCAGCAGCCAGGCAGCTGAAGCGGACAGGAGGCTTGCTTGCTCCAGTAATGGAGGAAGCCAAGGTTCCCGGCCTGGGCAGCCCAGCTCTGAACTCCGGATGCAACAAAGTTGCAATTATAGAAGCTAAACAAGCTCCAGGTACCTGCTTTCAGGCAGTGGGCTCAGAGCTTAGAGTGGCAGTGATGGCAACATAGTTTCAATTATAGAAGCTAAACAAAGCCCAGATATCTGCTTTCAGCAGCCGAGGCCTCAAGCTAGAGCTGGCCTCAGAGCTAAAGCTGCCTCTCAGCTCCAGTGACAGCCATAGAAAGTAAATAAATCCCAGAATAAAAAAAAAAAAGAAAAAAAGGAGAGGCTGAGAGATTCAGTCACCCGCCAGCCTGAAAATGGCCCTCAGCCCCTCATCCAGACTGGCCAGGCACCCCAGTGTGGACCCCAACCCTAAAGGGGGTGCAGGCAGTGTAAAAACATCCATCATTCCATCATTCAGGCTGGCCAGGCACCCAAGCGGGACCCCCACCCTGATCCGGGACACCCTTCAGGGCAAACCAGCTGGTCCCCACCCGTGCACCAGGCCTCTATCCTATACTACAGGCAGGGTGGGACAGCGCGAGCTGCCATCTGGGCCCCATGTGCAGCCCTGGGCAGCGGGGCATAAGCCCCGCCCCCAGCTGGGACCCCTATGTGCCACCGGAGCCCCCAGCCGGGACCCCTGTACTAAGCTCCGCCCCCAGCTAGGACCCTATAACTATTGGAGAGCAGGAAAGTGCTGCTAGGCCCTGGGTCGCTGTGGTGATCCGGCCATCAGTAAGTAGAAAAGTGTGGTCTGTAGGCAGCCCCAAGCTGCGCCTGATCAGGGAGCAGGAAAGCCCGGCCTGAGGGCAGCCCCAAGCTGGGCCTGATCCAGGAGCAGGAAAGCCCAGCTTGCAGGCAGCCCCCAGCTGGGCCTGCTCCTCGGTCACCATGGGGATCCAGGAGCAGGAGAGCAAGCCCGGCCTGCAGACAGCTCCAAGCTGGGCCTGCTCCCCAGTTGCCATGGATACCTGGAAGTGGGAAAGCCCAGCCTGTGGGCAGCCCCCTGCTGGGCCTGTTCCCCCGTCACCATGGCGATCCTGGAGCAGGAAAGCCCGGCTTGCAAGCAGCACCCTCATCCTTGCTATGGCTCAAGAGAGAGTACAACATGCAGTGGAGAGATCAACCTGAGAGATCAACACAGAGGGGCTCCTGCTCCAAGCATCCATGGTGTGGCTGAGGGCAGGCCCCCAGCAGACACAAACACACACACACACACACACACACACACACACACACAGTGCTTGTTCTGAGCATCCAGTGTGGCTGGGGGCAGACCCCCAGTGGGGACACACACACACACACACACACACACACACACACACACGATGCCTGCTCCGAGCCTCTGCTGCCAGACTGTGGCCATCAGTAGGACATCCACTGAAGGCTCCCGGACTGAGGGAACCCCCACCCTCCAGTGCATGAATTTCATGTACTGGGCCTCTAGTGTGTGTGTGTATGTATGTATATATATATGAATACTAGTATAAGGAACATTTCCCCCACCCACCCCCAGTAACATGTTTCTTGGTGTTTGAATTTTTTTTATTTTTATTTTTTGTACATAGAGAAAAGGGAATTTCAGAATTTTTACGTACATTTTAGCAAACAAGTTTTGATCTATTGGCTTCTTGGTGCAGTAATGCAATGGCAATCCCCTCTGGTGCCACAGGCCCAAATTACTACAAGGAAGTGTAAACACTAATTTCTTAGGAGGTGAGGCCAGCCCCACAGGAACTTCTCTTACATCCCTCTGGTCTACAATAATTCATAAATATCTAGATTTTTTTCCCCCTCAAGTGAATCATTAGATGTTAAAAATGGAACAACAGAGTCACAAAGGGTCACATGCTTTTCAGTAGAAAGCATTCTCCCTCACTAGGCGACTACCACAGTGCAGACCTGACTGCCCGAAATTATGCTCAGGTGGTTAGTCAGTATTGTCTGCATCTGGTTATGGAAAAGGCTTTCTTAAAAAAAAAAAAATCCAAAGTGCACAGTGAGAATAAATCAAAGCTTTTTTTGTTTTGTTTCAGCATCAGTTTCATCTAAGCATCTTTCAGAGCGAGGACTGCTGAGATGCCTGGCCTTTGTCCTCCCTACCCTCCAAAACTAAAAAAAAAAATTAGATAAAATAAAAATAATGTCAAGCAATTTAGACATTCATCAGCCTGGTAAACAAATTCTGCCAGCAAACAGAAGTCCTACTGTTGTAAAGAAAATTGGTAAGACAAAAAGTACATATTGTTAACGTAAAAAAAAAAAAATTCAAACCTGTAAAGAATTTTTGTTAGTTTATTTGAGCCAAATTGTCGACAATTGCCAGGAAGCAATATCTCAACGGATTAGGTCAGTGCTCTGGAGAATGGCGAGTTACATCTATATTTATGTATTGCAATCAAAGGAGGGACATAGATGGGTTACATGAAATCCATTGGTGATAGACTAGAGAGGCAGGAGAAAGCAAAGCGGGGAAACCTCTGGGATTGGATATAAAGTAAAATGATAGACACATACTTAGGTGGGTGCAGGAACAATTAACATGATAATGAAGGGATTTGTGGTATCTGTCCTGGCACCCAGGCACATTCGGTTGTGCCCCAAGGGTTCCGGAAAAAGGGTGGTTACAAGTTACCTAGACATTTCAAGGGTATGTTATCACAGATGCAAAAAGACAGATAGGCTCAGTTAAGGTAAAGTTTGACCTTGTTGGTGAAGATACTAGCCTAGGATGTAACTACCCACCATAACTGCTTTTAGATAAAGTTTAATTTCAGAACATCCTTTGTAGTTACTTTAGGTCTCTGAGTTTGCAAGACCTCCATGCAGGCCTTCCCTGAGCTTGTCAGGTTAGCATGTGGCCCCTTTTGTCTACAATATGATGACCCAACTGCTGTGTTGTTGGGTAATTTATAAGGTTGATCTCCGACTTCATTGATGTAAAATTCTATTGGAAATATTAGGGCAGCCATACAGAAAAGGATCATTCCAGTAAATGCTATCCATTGAGCATATTCTGTAGCTTCTCTTCGCCAGTGGGAAGCCACCAGCAAACAGTGTGGTGATAAAAAACAGTGCAGTGACCCACTTCTGGGGAAGCTGAGGTGGGATGCATGTATGGTCTAGTTCAGTGATGGCGAACCTATGACACACGTGTCAGAGGTGACACGCGAACTCATTTTTTTGGTTGATTTTTCTTTGTTAAATGGCACTTAAATATATAAAATAAATATCAAAAATGTCTTTGTTTTACTATGGTTGCAAATATCAAAAAATTTCTATATGTGACACAGCACCAGAGTTAAGTTAGGGTTTTTCAAAATGCTGACACGCCGAGCTCAAAAGGTTCACCATCACTGGTAGTTCATGGATTGTTTGACACTGTCGCACCAAGGCCCACAGTGAGTGCTCCCTCAGCCTCCCCGGTGTTGATCCAGTTGGGGTTGGTGATGCTGGTGATGGTGAAAATATCAGCAGCAAGAAAGAGACATCCTGATATGATGGTTGGTTTATCCATCCCCTTGCCTTACTCCCCGAAACCCCCCATTCCCAGGCAGGCCATGGCCTCCCGCCCCATGAGCCCCCACAGGGGCCGAAGTCTCCAGGCCACTCGCACCCTTCGCCCTCCCCTGAACCAGCCCAACCAAACACAAGCTTTTTTAAAAAAATATGTTTTTATCGATTTCAGAGAGAGAGGAAAGGAGAGGGAGAGAGAGATAGAAACATCAATGCTGAGAGAGAATTGTGGATTGTCTGCCTCCTGCACGCCCCCTACTGGGGATCAAGTTGGCAACCCAGGCATGTGCCCTAACAGGGAATTGAACCGTGACCTCCTAGTTCATAGGTTGATGCTCAACCACTGAGCAACACCTGCTGGGCAAGAAACAGATTCCTTTTAGGGTCTTTTTTTGTTTTTGTTTAAGAAAAGGTACACATGAAAGGAAATGAGAAAACTTTTGTTGCCCTATTTTTGTGCAGCAAAGTACTGTAAATTAAAATTGCATGAAAATGATTGTAAATGAAAATTAACTCTGATATTCTAATATTCTAGAGTAAAATCAGGGAATTTCTAAACTCACATTTTTTAAAACATATAATTTTATTGATTTCAGAGAGGAAGGGAGAGAGAGAGAGACAAAAGCATCAATGATGAAAGAGAATCATCAATCGGCTGCCTTTTGCGCATCCCCCACATGAGATTGAACCCACAACCTGGACATGTGCCCTGACTGGGATTCCAACCATGACCTCTTGGTTCATAGGGAAACGCTCAAACGCCAGCCAGGAAAAACTCACATTTTTAAAATAAGTTTATAGTTAAGATAAAAAGGAAAGAAAAAAAAAACCTTTTCATCTTATCATTCTCAAATATTAGTAACATTTTATCTCACATTAGATAAACTATGAAGGTTGTTTCTTAGGCATGGGGTAAAGAATGTGATTACACAGGCAAATGTGGATTGTAGCAAATAATACCAATATATCGTCATCTCTGTAAATGAAATGAGCTCAGAATTGTATATTTCAGTGGTAGTCACTAAAGAAAGAAATAAAGTTAATTATAGTAAGATGTTATATCCTTAAACATGTTAACTACTAGTATATAAAATTAGGTTGTATAAATAATACCAGTAATTTAAAAAAAAAATATTATTTTAAAATTGGTTCTAAATTCTAATTATTACTATAAGGAAGTTCTTGGCATGTGGATTAGCATGTTTTCATGTGCTATTTACTAAATGAGACAGTTCTGTGCACATTGTCTTCTTATTACAGTCTTGGAGCTTACACAGTAAGCAGATTGACTGTGAGTCCAAGTTCCATTCATTTGAGACTACAGTGTTAAGGTTCTCTGGTCAAATCAGGTAACATTACAAGTGCCATTTAAATGACATTGCACCCTTAATAAGTACTAACACCTAAAATTTCTAAACCAGTGCAATACAATTATGAGTGGAATCTAAGGAAATGACCTTGCAATTATCTTTGATTACATGTATGGGACCAGCGTAATCACCAGGGACTTGACAAATGAAGGAGAAGTGAGAGCATGAAAAGGACTGAGCCTAACCTTGATGGTTTGAAAATGGAGGAACGCAGTCACAAGCCAAGGAATGCGGGTGACTTTCAGAAGCTGGAAAAGGCAGGAAAAACCAATTCTCTGCCAAGCCTTTCACTGATAGCTTGGCGTTAGCCCAGTGAGACTTTTGACCTCCAGAACTGTAAAATAATAAATTTGTGTTGTTTTAAGACACTCACTTTGTGGTAGTTATTTATAGTAGCAATAGAAAACTAAAACAGCCTGGCAAATTTGAGAGTAGAGTGGTTGATGCCAAGGTGATATTAGGTCAATCACGGAGCTATTTGCCTCTTTGATTTGTTAATTTTTGTCTGTTCTAAGTGTTTGATTGTTGAGGTTTCTCATAATACATCATATGGTTCCCTTGGATACAGGGTTTAACTAAGGGAACTGATTTGTTCCTGCCTGTTCCTTATGAGTTGAGGACGAAGACTATATATCCTGAATATCAACTTCAATCACAGACCTATTGATATGTGGTTAAAAAATAGACAAAAATAATCGCATTCTGTGCTTTTAATTAAATGAAACTTGTTTTTCCGCAAATGCATATGGCATCTTAGTGTTGCTCTTTAGTCAATTCCTTCAACTTCTATTTTATAATCCCATTCCTCCCATACTTCACTAATTAGTATGTCATTTGCCTAGATACCAGTAAACATCACAGAAAGTTAAGAGGGCTTTCTTCAGGGCAGACTTAACTGTGTGGGGATCTTTGTAATTTATTTTATACTAGAGGCTCAGTGCACAAAAATTTGTGCACTCGGGGGTGGAGGGTCCCTCAGCCCGGCCTGTGCCCTCTCGCAGTCTGGGACCCCTCAGGGGATGACCACCTGCTGGCTTAGGCCTGCTCCCCAGGGGATTGGGCCTAAGCTGGCAAATCGACATCCCTCTGGCAGCCCAGCAGCCCTCGGGGGATGTCCACTTGCCAGCGGAGAGCAGGCCTAAGCTGCAGTCGAACATCCTTAGTGCTGCTGAGGAGGCAGGAGAGGCTCCCACCACCACCGCTGTACTGGCAGCCATCAGCCTGGCTTGTGGCTGAGCAGAGCTCCCCTATGTGGGAGCGCACTGACCACCAGAGGGCAGCTCCTGCATTGAGTGTCTGCCCCCTGGTGGTCAGTGTGTGTCATAGTGACCAGTCATTCCCAGTCCTTCTGCTGTTAGGGTCAGTTTGCATATTACCCTTTTACTATATTGGATAGAGGCCTGGTGCACGGGTGGGGGTTGGCTGGTTTGCCCTGAAGGGTGTCCTGGATCAGGGTGGGGGTCGCGCTGGGGTGCCTGGCCAGCCTGGTGAGAGGCTGATGGCTGTTTGCAGCTGGTCATACCCCCTTCAGGGTGGGGGTCCCCACTGGGGTGCCTGGCCAGCCTGGATGAGTGGATGATGGCTGTTTTAGGCTGGCCACACCCCCTTTAAGGTGGGGGTCCCCACTGGGGTGCCTGGCCAGTCAGGGTGAGGGGCTGAGGGCTGTTTTCAGGTTGGCCAGTGACTAAAGCACCCAGCCTCTCCTTTTTTCTTTTTTTTTATTCTGAGATTTATTTACCTTTTATAATTGAAACATTGTTGCCGTCACTGGCGCTCCCAGCTCTGAGGCTGCGGCCAGCTGAAAGGAGGTTTCTGGGGTTTGTTTAGCTTCTATAATTGAAACATTGTTGCTTTCGGGCTCAGAGCCGGGTGGCGGCAGGCAGGGAACCTTGGCTTCCTCCATCACTGGAGCAAGCAAGCCTTATGTTTGCTTCAGCTGTGTGGCTGCCAGCCACCATCTTTGTTGGCAGTTAATTTGCATATCACCCTGATTAGCCAATGGGAAGCATAGCAGAGGTACGGTTAATTACCCTTTTGTCTTTTATTAGATAGGATGGATTGTGGATTTTGTGGGTAGATGTCAATGCTGATTATCAAATGATTAGGCTTTTTTGTTTAAGTCTGAATGGGTCAGATATATATACTTTTGGCAGAGTAGTAAACCTAGGACATTTTAAAATTATATTTCGTTTTCTCCATTCATGTTTTGGTCCAGAAAGAATGACTTGAGACTTCCTGCTATGAGCAAATCACTCACATTTGCTAATATGTCCATGGAAAATCTGGTTAATAAGTATATTGGTTTCAGATACAGGGAAGCTTTCCCTGATCATGGAATT